GGAATCTCACATGACTGACTGTATGGTTCAAGTCCCAGACCTGGAAGCTTAAAAATCATGTCAGGCACATGTGCGTGCATGCTTAAGATCCTGAAGGGAGAATGGAGGAGAAGGAATTGCAGTGTGGTTATCCCTCCTGGGAAAGGGGGTGGGGGGTGTTTCTTCACGTTCACTTTCTCTCTCTCTCTCCCTGTCAAGTACGCACATCTTATAGCAAATTAAAATAAAAAAGGGAGTGGGTGGGAGAATAGAAGGAGATGAGAAGTATATTTGTAATAGACAGAAACCAATTGCCGTTCTCAATCTGTAAAAATGTTCCTTTCCTTCTCACATAACATATTCAATAAAACTTCACCATCCAGTAGTCCAAAGTTAAAGATCTTTTCAATCGACTACAATTTCATCTCCTTAGAAAGCCCAACTTTCCTTTTTCTGTTCATCTCTAGTTATTCCAGAGAGAGGTTTCTTCTATAGGATGATAACTGCAGCAAGTCTTATCCTCAATATTTAGAAAAATATTTGCTATTAGATCCATGCATGCTCAAGTCACTAGAAGGGTTATCTGATGTCTAGAAGGGAAATTCTGATTTTTTTTAGAACTAAGGTTTACTACGGTGATAATTATTTGCACATTTTTTCGCCAAATAATAAATTAATTTGAGTTAAGTACTATGCTTTCCATTGCTTGGGGGAATTTGATTTAGTGACTTGTGCCGCTGACCTGCTTTTAAAAAAAGACAAATCTATAGGAACATCTGGTGCTGTGAAATAAAAGACACTAATACGGTGAACATTCATTTTCCCCGATGCTGTAGTAAACCATATTCATTATTGCTACATTAAATGACTATGTGTCTTTTTTTTTTTTTAGAGAGTTTTTTTGTACACTCACTGGAAAGACAGAGACAGAGAGATGGAAAGGGAGAAATCACTCCCTTCCACCCCCAGGAGTGACGGTCATGCCGCAAGCCCTTCTCCTCCGTTCTCCTCTTGGGATCTTGGGCGTGCATGCTCCAGGACTCAAATTGCAGTCAACTCTGTGTGAGTCCAGCGACGTAACCACTACACCATCTGCTGGTCTCAAATGATTATATGTCTTGAGTTTTCCTCTACCCTGCACCCCCAGAAACTTTAGAAATGAATATACACTAAGCCATAGAGTTCACCTGACTTACGACCACATTGCAGAGCTGCTGATCATTTAGTAAAAATGCAGAATTTTCTGGGTGCTTTTGAAAAACATAAACATGTAATGTCTTGGTTCTCACTATGCCACCGATACACGAAAAGCGTAAGATATATCGCTGTGTGTGCTCACTACGGCATCGTAGGTATGAGACAGCATACAGTGAGGCTAAGTTCTTAGTCATAAGAAAGTAGTCCGTTTGTTTTTTTATCTTCATGTCTGCTTAGAGATTGTCAATACCAGGTAGTGAAAGCCAAATGGAATAGTGAAAGGACAGAGACATCCTTTGGGAGTCCTGCAGATAGTAATACGCACTGATACCGTGTGGAGGGAACTCGCCACCTTTTGAATTGGAAGTCTACTTTTGGTAGTATGTCAGAGCAAGACGAAGGTCATATTGCTAAAAGGCCATTATTATAAATGGTGGGGAACAAGCTAGGCCACACGTTTGCAAATTAACCCCTGCTATGCCTTGATGATCTGTAAGACATCTTAAAAAGAGCAAAATGGATCATCGAGTTTATTTTGTTTTTTTCCTGACCATAAATTTACGAGCTGGTCTGCTATGATTAAGTCAAAATTTCATAATGGCTTTTCTTTTAGAAAAAATAAAGTGTTGTCTGCTTCAGTGTGCTAAGAACTCTTAAGCCCTCGTCTTCTGTAGTAAAAGCAACTACAAACAAGAATTTACAGAGATCTTTCGCTCCAAGGGAAGCATGGTTAGTAAATCCTTATAAATAAATCTGGGAGTGGGGAATACGGAGGAAGGGGTTACAAGAACTCCAGAACTATGAATATTCTAAACGAATAGATAATTAAGAGATTCTCTTTTACTCTTTTTTAGACACATCTGAAAAGAACCTTCCAGATGAGGACTATGCATGCCTTAAGCTTAATTGATATACATGAAAATTATTTTTGCCTGAGAAGCCAAAGGTCAGGTAGAAACCAAAAGAAGATAGTATTTCATATTTGAAACCCTCATTGTATAAAACAATACTTTGTTTCCTTTCTCAGAGAGTCCTAGGTTTGTCCCACTGAGAAAAAGAAGAACGTGAATGTGGCTATTCCATGATTTCTTGATCCTTGGACAAAACTGAGGGAAAAGTCTAACAAATGCATCGTCCTGCAGTAAATTAGATCAGATTTCCGCATCTCCGCACTCAGTCTGGGAGCTGACAGTTCAGTAAAATGTTCCCTTGTAAGGTTCGCCCTCTTAGGAAAAGGGGCAATAATTCATCATTAGGATTTCAGAGTCCAGGTGTAGATGGAAACTGATGGAGCTTCCAGTGAGGCAGGGAAAGTGCGTGGAAGAAGAAAATTTTATCTGAAGCCTAATTCCCTGGTTACAGCAGAGAATAATTAAGATAATATTGCTTCAAGAGCCCTTTAATGATTAAAAATCACATATGCAGAATCCATAAATTGGAGGGCAACAAATTGGAAGGCCGCGACGTGAGAGGCCGGTTTTGTGCACACTGCAGTGGAAAGTACACTAGTGGCAGTGCGCTGTTCGGGCAGCCACCAGAGACCGGGACCATTCCAAGGACTTTGTTTAGATGCAACAAATCATTTGTCTGTTATTAACCCAGAGCTTGTAATTATGCAGATTGCCATAGATTTTCCTGGGCCTGGAAGTGAGATTGAGGGTTGTTCACAGTATAGCAGGCAGCTCAGGGCTGGCCATGCATTACTGAACTTGCCACATTTATCATGTTGACTGATGGCAGCAGAAGCAGGTCTCAGGTCCCAGTGGTTAATGTAGTGGGTAATTAACTGTCATTTGCCTAGTAATAGGCTGATGATCAATGGTTTGTGTGGAAACAAATTCTAATCAGGTAGCTGATAAATGCTCAGCGAGCGAGAGCAATTGAAATTGGGAGAAACTATGTCCAGAATTTCAAAATGGCATTGTGTGTGTGTATGTTTATTAGGTATGAGCAAACTGAGTAATTCTTAAAAACGGCTTTATCTCCTAGTAACCAGATTTTATATCCACAAGTATATCTATATTCATGGAATAAAGAACTTTGAAGGTTTCCTTATTTTTGAAAAATAATAAAAAGCAGTGGAAACAAACAGCACACGTAAGTGATGTGACTCCTTAATAGCTGATCGGAAGTACCCTGAAAAGTATATAGGAATGAACTGAAACATTCTGCTTGCAAAAGAGTAGGGTGAATGCTTTGGTTTGTGATGGTTTCATGTTTTTAATGATGCCAGTAAGAGATGCAAGATAGTGCAATTTCAATGAAGTTCTTTGGAAAGAAATGCATTTCTCAAAATACAGATTGTAAACTGAGAACATAAAGGTTGTTCAAGTGAGATTCCCCAACGAAAGCACATTCAAAGGTTTATTCACTTCTTCCAGTAAGGCCAGTGTGTAAGAATTCCAAGTGCAATCTTCTTGCATACAAACCTTGCTTACATTTGGTCAAGGGCACAGATTATGCTGGCAGGCTGTTTAAAAAGCAGTCGCTCCGTCTACCCTCAAGGAGCTTGTGTTCCTCAGAAGACCATCTAATAAAAACATGAGCATAAACACTTTTTGCATGTCTTGCCAGACACTTCGGAACCACTCTCGCCACTGTCTCCCAACGATTGCTATAGGCCTGGGAAGAGGAAATCGTTACAAACTTGAACATGAATATGCATGCCTTAAGCAACGACTTATCTTTGGAGTATATAGAAAGTAATAAGAAGAGAGACTTCAGCACGTTTGCGCGTAATCCTTAAATTCAGTAAAATGAAAGGCTAAGATTTTTTAAAGTACATTTTTATAACCAAAATGAGTTTTCTCCATAGCACCTTTGAATTCATTAGTTTAGAACTGCTTTTAATTTGGTCTTTCCCATGAGAGCCATTATATTTTTCTCCTGTCAGCCTGATGCTGGAGAAAAAAGAAAACTGGCAGATGTGGTGTTTTTCATCTAGTTTGCTTCCTAGTTAAAAAGTGCATTAACTACTATGCATAGAATATTATTTATACTAATTCTTCACCACCATTAACAACTTTAAAGAAACTTGGTTTAAATATTGCTAGTGCAAGTGGATAAAATATTTTATTTCCTTCCATTATGAAACGATAGAGACATTTTATTTTGTACTATTTTTAGGTCATTACAGTAACTATTTTCAGGTATCTCCAGCAAATAGGATTTTAAAAAAAAAAATGTCCTTTTCCCAGACAATTCTAGTGGTTCTGACAGTATATTATGTTTCAACTCCTGGTCTAGCTATATATAGCTTACAGCCTCATTTACTTTAATGTACTACCTGAATAACATAATCATAGCTATAACTATGGTATAGAGCCATAAGGGGCATGCACCTCTTTTTTTGACTGTTTAAAAAGCTTTTTCATAAATGTTCTTTTAATCATAATGGCAAAGCCTTTTAGTAACAGATGTCAAAAAATAGTGAGTCACTCAAATGGGTTTATTTTTCCACCAGGACGTTCAGTATATAGCATTAAGTGCAAAGTCGCATTGCTTTTGTATTTACAGTGTCCTCTAACAAGTAGAAGATTTCACTGCAAATTCACCCCGTTGACTTCTCTTTGTGTGCAGTTATGTAAGCTTCCTAATGTATTTATCTTTTTCTTTTCTCCTCAAACAAGATGTGTTTTCATCAAGAAAGGTCAACAGAGTATGTATTGCGGAAGAATGTTTATGTGTACACCCAGGCTAAAACTCACTGTGTACATCATAGGGCACTGCGCATTGACAGCTTTCCAGGGGACATTTCGTCTTCTCTATTCACCATCTCTGATTTCCCTGTAAGAGTTTGAAAAAGAATGTGTTTATTGTTCTAGGCTCTTTGGTGTAACGGGAAACTGTGCTGCCTGTAGTAAGCTCATCCCTGCCTTTGAGATGGTGATGCGTGCCAAGGACAATGTTTACCACCTGGACTGTTTTGCATGTCAGCTTTGTAATCAGAGGTAAGCAGATTTCATTTTGGCTTCCAAAAAATGGTACACGTCTCTGTGATGGCTATTCATTTAATGGGTGGGAATCATTTTAGAACGCTAAATGCAATTAATCTCAACATTTTTGTCCTCTGCAAACATTAATCTGGTACCAGAAATAAATGACAGAGGGAAGAGAAAGATCTGAAGACTAACTTCTTCCTGAAAGGGACAGGTCACAGAACAGCGAGTGACAGCGAATGGAAACACTTCTTAAACTTTTAATCTTATTACTCCATTTTTTCTTTATTGTTTTTCTGTGTTTTGGGAAAGCAGTTTTGACACATCTTTACATTTTGTGCTATGTCTTTGAGCAAATGAATCGGCAATGAAGCGAATATAGAGAAATCTGTGGGAGGTATTTTGTGTTCATCTTATTTTTCTATTTATAGTTTCCCTATCACAAAATTTCTTATCTTGAATTTTAACCATGTTCTGTGTGTACTTTTAAAGTAATTTCAAATGTCTTTGGGAAGGAGGCCAGTTATAGCTAATAATTAAGCAGTTATCAGCATGGGAGAGACAGCAATGGGCAGAGTATTTTTGTATAGAGACTCTGGAAACCTACATTCTAGTCTGTTCAGCCACTAATGAACTCTGTGACCTTAATCCAAGCATTATACCTCTCTGGGCTGCAGATTTTTTTTTTTCGTTTGTATCATTCAGAAGTTGAATTAGTCAATCTCAGAGAACACTTCTAGCTGAAAAGTATGACTTAATCCCATTTTTCCTTACTTAAAGTTGTAAGTTTTATTTCCAGTGGGAACTGTGTAACACTGGTACCTGTTTTGTGTGATAAACACAGAGGATATTAGAATATTGAAATACAAGTATCTTTAAAAATACAATTATGTTAAAGATTAGTATATTTGATAGACTTTAATGAAAATAAATCCAGCTAGAGTATCTATGAGAACACTTGACCCTAGTGTGTAATCCATGAATAATAATTACATCAAGTTCTCAGTTATTGTAATTTACCCTGAAAGGTACTATTATTTTTTCTTTCTTTTCATTTCCAGAAGCCATGTGTGCTTGACGGAGACAGAGAGAGAGAAAGCACTCCTCAGTGAGATGTGGTCACACTATAATCCTTTTCCTTCCCTTTCTCTGTCCCATCAGGATTCGAAGCATGGACACATATACCCACTGTGTTTTTCATGCCACCAGGGCAAGATTCAAATCTCTGTGGCCATGTGAAATCCAGCCCCCTATACATGGCTGTGCTATGGAGCCAGCCCAAAGCAGATTTCCTATGAGGCCTTATAAATCGTGAAAAGAGTTTATCGGTAGTGGGAACCAGATCCAAATTCCACCCCCACCATCTATTCGTTGATTCCCTCGCTGTGATTTGGGGTATGTTACTTAGCCTCTTTCAGTTCAGTTTTCATATCCACAAATTGAGGCACTAATACCTATCTGATCCTCAAAAGTTAGTTCTCTTCTGTCTGCAATTTACTTTTACCAAATAATATTTAACTAACTTAGTGTTCCCATAAGATATATATCTCAGTAGTATCTCTTGCTAAATGCAGATGTTCAGAAACTCGCCCAATATACTCCATGGTGTCAGTTAACCCAGACAGGAACTTTAGACATCATTTTCAACATTTTGATTCTCCCCAACAAATGCTTGCAATCAAAGTAAGATAATTCAGACTAAGGTGACATTAAGGCAAAACTAAGTGGACAAATGCATGTTGTTTTTCAAGGGATACACAAAATCCATGTGAATGCATCTGTATGCTTGTGTAGGATTGAATACATTTTAAAGATTATTAATGAAAAGTTTAGAATACTTCTGTTTATTCGCCACCCTGATTTGCTAAAAGAGCTCACTAACAATAATTACCATATATAATAATAAATTTACTGCTTTTCTACTTATAAAAGGACACGTCTTCATAGAGAAAATTTTTGAAAGAGATAAAGAACAACACTGTCTCATGTATCACTATTCAAAAAGAAAATACTTTATATGTTTTGGTATATAGTCTGCCATACATTTTTCCATGTATATATGACTAGCATATCATACATATATTATGCCCAAATGTAAGCAACTTACAAAAAACAAATATCCTAATTTTTGATGTTTGGACTTTATAATTTATTTTATATTGAATGCCTTTTTGATTGACATCTTAAAAAGTTTTAAGGTATTTTAAGCTATTTCATATTCAAGTTTTTCTTTTCAAGAATTATTTATTTAATTTGATTTATTATGATTATTTTTAAAATTTGCTATTGGGAAAATGCACTCACCAAAAAGAGATAGGAAAAGAAAGAGAGAAGGAAAGTGAGAAAGCAAGCCACCAGGTCCAAGATTTGAACCGTGGTCAACCATGTGGGAGTCTAGTACCTTCACTACCACACCTTTTACTAGCCTCTCTTGTATTCAGTTGTATAAATAGAACTTCACATGTAAATCAGTCTTCTATAATTAGACTGGTGAGCTGTTTGATCAAAAGTTTTTATGTTATCACTATAATGTGGACTCTACAAATAAATAGACACTCAAATCTTTGTCAGGAAAAATTCACAGGAGCATAATTAAGTAGACATAGTATTTACAGTTTGAAGGCTTATATTGTACATGGCCAAAATGGTCTCTAAAATAACTACACTGATTCATTTCACACTAGAAATGTATAAAACTGTATATTCATTTATATTTGTAATAAGAATTATTATTTTAAAACATTCTTGTTACCTTGAGGGACAAAAGTTGGTATCTCATTATAACCTTTAATTGGCAGCTGTTTGATTACTAGTGGCCCTTTGGTGTTTCTTCTTTTGGGGGAATAGTCCTTTTATGCCCTTTGTCCCTTCTGCTATTAAGATAGGCTTTCCTATTTTATTCGTGTTCTACACAGAATATTAAAACATCATTCAAGTGCTAAACCCAGTCTAAATTCTATTATGATGCAAAGTAATTGCAGGTTGTTAATGCTATTTACGAATCGTATATCAATTTTATTTCACCATTGAAATAAAAAGTTGCATTCACAATAAAGTCTGTCTTAGTAGAACTCAGTCAAGTAAGACAAACACTCCTAAATTTTGACTCTAAAACTGTTCACATTCTTATTGCTGCAAAATACTATTCTAGTATCATTATTAAAGCACCTAATATATTTCCATGTTTGCTCCATTTATTACATGCCATAATGGGACTGCATATCTTTAGTGCTGGTTATGCACAATTAGCACTTAGTTATTGTCTTGTCACTTCAGCCCCTGCAAGACAAACTTCTCTAATGCCAGGAGTCAGCTAGTCTTCATCAGTCAAGCAAAGCAGACAAATTTTGTTACCCCGAATATAAAAGGTTTTCAATATAAGAGATTCTCCTTTAACTTTGAAGTTTGCTTGGGAAATCCGCTCCAATAAAGCCACATCCCACAGAGGTCTCTGCTTTCAGTAGCCAAATTGTTGTCACAGGGTCACACCATTTCAAGTGAAACAGGAGACAAAGAGATCATTAATAGGCATCGTCCCTTCAGTAAACTTAGTTGACATCTGAAATTGTAGAATTACAAATATTTATCAAATTTACTCAGCAGTCATGTTATCTTAACTTTTAAATCAAGATGCTATGAAGACGGAGCTGGCCGGTGGCCTGGTGGTTAAGGCACTGGACTCCCACAGGGCCGACCATAGTTCTTCAAGTCTTGGACCTGATGGCTTGCTTTCTCTCTGTCTTTACCTTTGTCTCTCTCTGGTGAGCATGCATACCCTGTAGCAAATTAAAATAACAATAATAATAATAATAAATGTAATTATACAAGTAATTTCTTATTAAAAAAAAGATATTATGAAGATCTAAAGCATATTGGATGTTATTTAAAAAAGGAGTGATGATAACCTTTCAGGATTGGGGGTTTCTTATACAGATCTTCTCTGCCCTTTAAAGAAGAGGCATGGCTAAAAATAATACATCCTGGGTTAAAAATCTAACTTTTCTATTTTAAAAGGAACCCAGAGATGGGTTCTTTTGAACCTCTGTTTTGATAAGTTAAATCTCTTTTGAACTTGAAAGATACTGTATATTAGGTTCATTTAAAAAGGAGAATGATTCCTTCCTTGTAATAAAATTTTCCCAAATATGCAAACTAGTATAACATTTTATTTTCTTTTATTAAAGAATAAACACACTGTGCTAGGCTCTGTGGAAGCTGGGATGGATAAAATCTAATTTCTTTCTGAGAGATGTTCAGAGCAGGACTTCAAAGACTCACAGAAGAGTGTAATCGATGCTAAACAGATTTATTCCGAGGGAAGAGAGATCTGTCCTTCTTGAAGTCTTAGGGAAGCATCAAAGGGCTGACGTGTGCTGGGTTTTAAGAAAGAACTCCCTAGAACTGATTAGGATACAGGTATGGTGTCTAGTGGGGATTGGGGAAGATCAGGGAGCCAGGGAGCAGTGGAGAGAGGGTTTCCCAGGCAGATGGAGTGACATGCAAAGGCATGAAGATTTGAAAGCATGGTGTGTTCAGGAAATAAGAAGCATATTTTATGAAGGTCAGAGGAGTTTGGTAGGAATATGGAAGACCAGGGAGGGGAGCAAGACCAGAGAAGATGAAGTCGTCAATGTAGGAAGTCACTGCATAAAAGTTGAAATGAATACATATTTAGATGATTTACCTGAAAGAGACTTGTTATTTAAAATGATTGAATTCTGGAATCAATCTATCCTTTTCCCTTTTTTTTTTTTAAAGAGATTTTTGCTATAGGTTGCATGCATTTGCCGGAGAGATTGAAAGTGAGAAATCACTCCGCAGGGGGCATGGCCAGGCTAAAATCCTTTCTACTCCATTCTCCTCTTGGGATCTTGGGCATGCATGCACACACACCCAGTGTGAGTTTTAAATTGCCAGATCCAAGACTTGAACTGCAGTCAACTATGTGGGAGTCCAGCGACATAACCATTATGCCGGAATAAATCTATCTGGAATAAATCTATCTTAACCAA